TACAATTTCAAGTACAAATATTAAATTATTTAATTTTTTATTAATAAATTATATTAATAAATTATATTTATTTTTTTTAAATAATTTTCAATTGTTTGAATGTAATAATTTAAAATTTTTTTTAATGAAATACAATAGAATAATAAAATAAATACTAATAAAAATTTGAAGTTAAAATAAAGTATAAATTGTTTTATATACATATTATGTAAGTATTTTATTTGTATATCTATATACAAATTATTATTTTTTCTTCTAATAATTAAATTTTGTTGATAATAAAATATCAATTACTAGATTAATCTCAAAAAAAAAAAAAAAATAAGAAAAATATTTTTTTAAAAAAACAAATGATACTTGTTATATTATATTATCAAGACAAATTAATATAGCGAAAGTGTGTAATCATTATAAATTATATATTATACACATATCACTTTATAATGATATATAAAATATATCACTATATTACTTACCCGTGTAATGTCTGGGTCCAATTAGACTGTTAGAGCCAAATAAATGATGATTTATTATTCTTGTTGCCGAGGCTAAACTATTATTGGTCGTAAATGGCTTGCCACCTCGTAATCCTCCATAATAATTGTTCTCCGTAGTCTCCTTTTTCGTAATATTACGAGTCATGATGCTTTCCTGATCGCTGATAAATTGCGCACGAGGTCTTACGCTCTGCAATCACCCGTGCCGGATAACTAATACACTATATTATGCAAACTAATTTATTTGTTAGTACAAATATGTATATATATACACATTTCAATTTTTTCTTGATAAATATTCGTTGGAAATGATCAATAATAAACAATAAACTGAATTTTATGGTTAAAAAAAAATATCTACAAGAAAAATTATTCTATGAATTCTTCTTTGATGCTGAATCGAAAAATTGAGATGATGAAAGCTGGATGAATAGATTTTCTTTTTTGTTTGGGGATATGTTAGGAACGAATCTAACTTTATATAAAATAACTTTTCAGTTTATGTTTTCAGTTCATTGGAATTAATCGTATATATATATATTTTTTTTTATTCATAACTTGTTATCATTTTTTTAACAATATAAATAATTCATTTGAAGTTATGGTATATGTATTGCATAGTATGTGATCAATATAGGATTGCAGGATATTATTTAATCTTAATTTAAAAATTAATGATATTATCAACAATTGGAATTTTTTACTTCAATGTACTCAAAACTGTGAACACAATCCTTTTTTAACGCACGTTTATATGATAATTTCAATAGAATACCATTTTAAAATTTCAAAAGGATATTTTTATGATTTTTGATTATACATAATATATACATTTAAGATAAAATCTAAATATATTCAATTTATTCAATATATTCAATTTAAAGTCAAGTGCAATAAGTGCATTTAGTAGATACACGAAACAGAGTGCGAATACAAGCAAGTTAATCGTCAAATAGAAGAGTTATTAAAGCATTTAAATGATTCGAATGACAAAATCAACGGTATAATACCGGTCTCATTCTTCGATTGATAGTGTATAGCAAGTTGATTACGCTGCAACTATGACCTTTTTAATCGAGATAAATGACGCTTCTGGGTAATCTGGCAGGCCAAACAATAATCTTTCTTTATATTGTCTTTTCTTTGAGCACGATTAATTACGTGCAATATTGTATATATTTGTATAGACCTTTTTGATAAGTATCAGGGCATTCAATATATATGATCGCCCTCAGCAATTTTTCAACTGTGCTCCGTTTGCGATCTTGATGATTCGTGAAACTGAAAAAAGCAGTGATGACATATTGTCAAAATTCATGCAATAAATTCAGCTTTTTGATTATCACGGACAAATTTCGATAAGTACTTACAGAGTACAAATACAGAGATAAATCATTCATTCATTTTTTGTTTAGAAATATATATATATTGTTTTGAAATTGTTTTGAAGTTATTTCATTTTTAATGTATATGAACAAAAATTTATTGAAAAGTAATTTGTCTTGATCTTTGAAGAACTGTAAGTAAGAATTTTATTAATCTCCTACTTCAAGAAAATAATTCTAGAATATTCATAAATTTTTTTTCTCAGTAAATAAAAAATGGAATAACTTCAGAAGGGTATATTTTAATAAAAAAAGATCTTATGATGATAAATTAAATGTTATATCAATCGAAATAAAAATCAAATTGATTTTATTGGCGAAAGATGTAATTGATAAAAAAAATTGAAAAAAAAATTATTTTTTGTAGAATAATTTTATATAGATATAGCAAAAATCAATACTTTTTATCCATTTATTGTTTTTTATATGTATATTTTGCAACCATTTTTCACATAAAAGAATCAAATTTATTTCAAAATTAAATTTGAAAAAATATGTTAATTATAGTTGATTTTCTTCTATACTATTTTTTCTTGACAATAAACTTGACAATAAACAAAAAATACCTTATTCTTATATTTGCATTAGTTATATATGTAAAATTCGGATAATTTGCATTAGTCTTAAAAATTATTAAAAATTAAGACTATGATTTTGATCAGGAATTAATAGAAATTATATTTCGCATAATCATAAATTTTTGAGGAGAAAAATTCTTATTTATATAAAAAAATTCTCAATAATATGAAATAATAAAATTTTCGCGTATTTAATTTCTTTAGTCAATTATTTATATAAAATTGAAATTAATGATATATTAACGATATTGAAAATTTTTATTTGAGTATTATTTTAGTTATGGTAAATGAAAATTTATACAAATTTGTGATATTTATTACATATGTTCATTGATAATAAAATTAAATTTTTATTCATTCAAATTAGATTTTTAATATTGAATTCTTATACTTAATAAATCTTTAACCTTTTTTGAATATAATTCGTTCCTTGTTTAAAGAGAAAATTGATTCGAGATTATTAATGATAAATATAAAAATGAAAATCGAATATAAAAGGCAGAATTAATATATGCAAGATGGAGCAATAACTCCACTTTGAATATAGTCGTTATTTTTAAAGATGGAAAAATTTATAATTATTTATATTAACAATTTTTTAATTTCTCGATTTTGATAAGATTAAAATATGTTGGTCAAAACAATATTATATAACAAATTATTCTAAACAACTTTTGTCTATAGATACATGTTATTGCATAGTATTTTAACAGATATATTTTAACTTTTTTAATTTAAATAATTTTTAAATTTGTAATATATATCCAATATTTTAATAAATGATATTTGAGTTCCATCAATAATTTTTTTTTATTAAAAATTGATTTGGTTAGAAAAATTCCTGGCCGACAACACTGAAATAATTTTTTTATATCATTTTTATATCATATTCGATTTGTAACAAAGTAATAATAATATAAAAATTGTCTCTAACTAGTCATACTGATCGGACATGTTACTTATCGCGAGTCATCAAATACATGATTGTTATATATATGATTGTTATTAATGATTATAGTTATTGTTTCGTTTTAATCTTTTTTTTTCTATAGTGGTATATTTTGCAAGTAATTATTTCATACTCATTACATAATGCATATTTATCAACAAGATTGATATTAATGAGACTTTTGAAAGTTTAAATATGGAAGCTATAATGTTGAAAAAATGGAAAATTATCAAATGAATTAGACTTATAATTTTCAAAATTTTATTCCACAAAAAATAAGCTATTATAATTGATGCAGTTAATGGTAAAAACATAAATATTTTTATTATGACTGTAATTATAATTCATTAGTTGTCTTTACGATCATAATGCTACATAATTTGTCTAATAATCATCTATCTTGATAGTAATTGATAGTACAGTCAATAATTTTGTATCTAAGCATCTCAAATTATCAATTAATGATACAGTCATTATTGATTCCTACTTAATCCTTTTCAAAGAATTATTTTTAGTATTTTTCCAATTATACATACAAATATAGAAAATATTTTTATGAATCATAATATAAGATATTCTTTTTTCAAGTAGGGATTTGAGAACCTGAGTCTTTACATTATGAGTAATAAATTTTCTTTAATTTTAAAAATATAATATAATTTTAAAAATTTATGAATTCTATTTAATTATTTATAATTTAATAGAGAATTTTTTCATCTACTAATAAAATTAAATATTTTTTATGTAAAAAGAACATATGACTAATTAATTGCGAAATCCTTATTAAAACAACAATATTAATTAATAATGAAAATATAGAAGTTGAATTCAATAAGAACAACACGAATAATGGCAAACTTTTCTTAAATAATTTTATATCTAATATTCAACAAACAATTTGATTATGATCAATTAGTTAACTACAAATTTAGATATTAAAAATGCATTATTTACATACAAAAATATACGTACAAAAATTCCAATAGAAAATCAAACTTCATCGCATCAACAAATGATATAATCATTAATTAATAAATCCATGAAACCCTCCAACAAAATAATCAGCAATATTAGTGATACGATTAAATTAACTGAAATTATTCAATCTCATCTAATTGATCAACTTTTTGGCAAACTATTAAAATTGATAATCCTATTAAAATATAAATATATACATGATATTTTAACATTAATTAAAAATAGAATTATCATTATCAAAAATAGAATTCGTAGAATTATCAAAAAACTTAATATTGATCTATCTAATACTTTATCAATTTATATCTCTCCATACCAACATCAATTGATTGTGATTTGATCATTATATTATTATCTCTAACTTTATAAATTATAACTTAATCTCTATTAATATTTGCCTTTCTTAATTAAAAATTTTGTTAATTATATATATTTAATATAGTTTGTTTATGAGAAAAAATCTAAAATCTGATTAACAAATTAAAAATTATAATTTCTTTATTACTAATCGGAATTTCTAAATTACTAGTAGAAGAATAACATTTAATACAAAAAAAATTTAATTATAAAAAATTTAAATATTACTTCTAATATAAAAATAATTGTAATTAGAATTCGTATTTTCTCAAACTTATAATTACATTTATATTTTTACTTATCAATTTAATAAATCAAAGTAATAAATAAAATAATTGATATTTTATCGAATCCTTTTAATTTCAATAGTTATAATTTTTAGAATTCGGAAATAATTAATGCTAGAGAAAAAAATACTAGAAAAAAATCTTCCTCAATAATAATATTATCATTTTAAATGATAATAATCAATCTATTTTAATACACCTTATTTTCATAAATTACGATAGTAATCATTTTCTATTTTTAATTAAGATCAAATAATCTACAAATTATAATAATTTTCTTTCTCATTGAAAACTTAAGTTTATTGATTGAATAAATATTAGATTAATAGATCTTAATTAATCTGATCTAAATATTAATTTTTATTTCTATCAATATTAGCTCACATTGAACTATTAATTTAGCTGAAGAATTTATTTCCATATTAACTAATGCGTTCTATTAAAATTATATTAAAATTATCCAGACAAAATATTTATAAAATATTCATAAAATATCTTAGATACAAAAGCTGATAAAAGATATAAAATAGTAATAATATTCAAAAGAGAACATCTCGAAATATAAAAATAGTAATGAAAATAATAAAAGAATATAAAAAATAGTCATGATTAAATTTGTTGTCATTATTAAATAGATACATATTTATAATATTATG